CACAGGAACATTATATATCTGGCTAACAGACATACAGTATATTTATTAAATGAGTAAGTATTAAAATATATATTACATATAAATATGTATTATCAGATACATGTTTTACATTATATACACAAATATATATGTATGGTGGGTAATTGAATGGCAAAAGAGAAAGAAATTCTATTTAATGTATTTTGTCCTTCAAGACTAAATGTTCATATTGATAAAATATATATGTGAGGGGGTACAGAATTATTAACAAAAACGTCAGTTATAATTATACATTGAAAGTGAACACTGAAAATGTAGGGACTTTCTCTGCGTGTCATGTCCCCTCAGGACGTTGGTGATCATGGCTCTCCACAAGTTCCTGTCCTTTGTAGCTCTTAATAAATGTTGCCATTTGGTTATTTCTCCTTCTGCCATTCATTTACTCAAGCTCACTAAATGGGTTATATGTTGTTTCCCTCTGTTCCACTTGCCTCATCTGTACCATATTTTCCAAGCCTTCTTTTCTCATTATGTGCCCTAGAAATTGCAGTTGTCTCTTCCTGATGTTAAGTATTAGTTTCCTTTTTTGTTTCCATTTTCTCTAAAATTTTGTTGTTGCTAACATATTTAGTCCATGGCATCCCCAGCATTCTTCTGTAGAACCACATTTGAGGAGATTGTCCAGCGTTCACAGCCATGACTGATCCCACAAAACAATTCAGTACTTTTTTCTTTGTTACAAATGAAATTAAATTTAAACTTCTGGCTGATGTCTGAGGTATTTAGACATACAGCTTAGCTGACTTCATTCAGTTTCCTGACACATGTTCTTATTTTTTTTATTACTGTTGTTGTTTTAGTCTGATATGTAGAGTTTTTTTGTGTGTATATATATATATATATATATATATATATATATATATATATATATATATATACACACATATATATATATTATTGCATGCATGTACACACACATTTTATATATATATATATATATATATATATATTACATGTGTGTCCCACACTATATATATATATATATATATATATATGTATGTATATATAAAAGCCTATCAAAAATTGGTACCCAAGGGAAAAAATTTGATAAGAACTAGAAACATCCGAACAGGGCAAAATAAATCATCCAGTGTCTTAAGTTTTTAGTCCAAAGAAAAAACCCCAAGAGAGTAATAATGCTAAAATGTAGAGTGCTCAATACACTAAGCAGAGCTTGGATAAATGAAATAAATCCTAAAGAGCCAGAAACAACCTACCTAGATTTCATCTATATGGATGTTCAGGGTAAGCTGGCTATATATATATATATATATATATATATATATATATATATATATATATATATATATATATATATATATATATATATTATTTATTTTATATGATTCCAACACGCTACATAAGAGTTCTCATTTTTTCAAAAAAAAACTTCAATATAATTATTTGAATTAAATTGAATTAAAGTACTAAGCTCTCTTCCATCTTCAAAAGAGAAATTTTTTTTTGAATTTCGTTGAAGATGGAACAATTTTACTTTAATTCAAATAATTATATTGAAGTTTTCTTTTGTTTTTGAAACATGAGAAGTCTTATGTCAAAATCATTTTTAAATAAATAATTATATTTATGCTCTACTTTTTGTATCGAGCACTATTTTCTAAAAAAATAATAACAAAAATTCTAAAGAACTTTGGATTATTTACCTAACGAGTTCTTTCCTATTTTCTATATATTTTTCATTTATATATATATATATATATATATATATATATATAAAATATATATAAATATGTTATAAAATCATAGTGATGATATGAATATAAATAAAAATTTTTATTTTATATTCAACATCATCACTTGATAAAGACATGTTGAAGTGTTGAAACAAAATTTTTATTTTTGTAGTGATTTTATAACATATTTATGTTAGAATTTTAGATAAATAATTATATCTGCTCTACTCTGTATTGAGCACTCTTAAGAATAGTAATTTTTGGTTATTGGAATTTATTCCGTATACACCAATATATATATATATATATATATATATATATATATATATATATACACACACACACACAACTAAGAAACTAATTTACATAGGTTGATAAAAAATAAAATAATGATGGCATATTTAAGTAATTTTACAAATTATTAGCACAGTACAAAATAAATAAAAAATTAAAAAAAATGATAGCAAATTTAACAGTATGTAACTTAGTTTATTAACTATAAATAATTAATCAATTTGCATATACCATCATTATGTAAGTGCCTATTTAAGTAATTTTGCAATTGCATTGTGCTTATAAAATATGACAAATATTGTTGCTACTCATTTTCTAGTTTATATTCAATACTTCTTGAAAATTAATCTAAAAGTAAAAGTAATAATTTATCCTCCACCTATGTCCATACTACAAACGAAATCCAATAAATAAAACTAATTTTAATATATATTGAATATTTTTAATAATATATCTTAATTTGAAAGTTATTTCTACAAAGCCAAATCATAATTTACAAATTTTTTCATATCTCTCTCTATATATCGGATACTTCTATTATATCTCTAAAAAGCCTACTACACAAAAACAGGCATTTCATCCATATCTATGTAACTGCCAGTAGTGACAGAAAAAAATGTTTACATATGTTGTGCGTCTGTGTATATGTAAGGAAAACAGAATTTTATATATGTTTAGATGGACTTGTTACCATACACCATTTAATGCACTACCACTTGTGGGAATGTTTCTGATGATTTATTTCTGTTCTTGAAGAAAAAAAATTTTTTCTACCTTTGTCAAAATCATATTTCTACAAGTCAATAAAAGAAACACATACAGACACATATTTCTATGTCTGCAGTAGAAAAGTCCTCTATATAAATATTATGTATGAGCACAAAAGAATTTCAAACTGGCAGTAATATATTATATATATATGTGTGTGTATATATATATATATATATATATATATATATATATATATATATATATATATATATATATATATATATATATATAATATATATTATTTTATATATATGCATGGTACTTATTGGAAAGCGCTCAATATCAGTGATCACAAAGAGCGTGAAACCCAGTGTCATAAGCTCACATCAATCAAACTATATATAAAATTTAAATGCAGTGTCAATCACCATCTTATGTCTGTTCATCTTTTATCCCTTCCTCAATCTCACCCACTATACCCAGTCTTTTCTTTCACTCTCTGTAACCCCCTGCGTAGTAGTGGCATTCTCACCTTTAGTAGGGTTGAAGGATAAAATATATGTACCCAAGTATAGGATTGGTGTGGACCAAAAAAAAATTCCAATAACCAAAAACACTATTCTTAAAAGAGTGCTCAATACAGAGTGGAGCAAATATTATTTATCCAAAAATTATACCATAAACATGTTATAAAATCATATCATGACTTGAGAAGGCACCAGAAGTGTTGAAACAAAATGGTTATTTTTGTAGTATTTTATAATGTTTATGTTATAATTTTGAATAAACAAAACAATATATATATATATATATATATATATATATATATATATATATATATATATATATATATATATATTTTGTGTGTGTGTGTCAAAAAATAGTATGAGGCCAAAAATGCTGACAGTCAATGGGGTATTGAGAAAAAAACATTTAAGGCAAGCAGTCTTTGGAATAAAGTGCTAGATAACAAAGATAGAGCATTAATAGGATTAATGGGAGGAAAAGTTTGTCACTTAGCTGATTGATGTCATCCTCAGCATCCAGACTACAGAGTTTCATGGGTGGACCTGTTTGTCCACTCTTCAGGGGGTATCAACAAATTACTTCAATCAGCTAAGTGACAAACTTTTACTCTCATTAACCCTATATATATGATAGACATATTTCCCCCACCCTGCTATTCTGAAAGGTAATGTAATGGAATACACCCCATTAGTTTCAGGAGTCTTTCAAATAATTTTCAATATTCAAAAGGTGGAATAAATTAGCTTTAATTCTTTAACCAAAAGACTATATTTGAGTGCAAACTAAAGAGAAAGAATAAAAATATGAAGCTGAATAAAATATCAGACATTAGCAGAATTTTAAAGATAGCAGTGATAATACATTTTAGCGATTTGTGGTTTACGTTTAAATATTGTCGGCCTCGGGCCATGGTGAAAAGTCATCATGTGATGCTGTTCTTGTGAGTGAGTGCAGAGAAAAGCAGGTAAATACAACTGGCTTGATCTTGATTGGCATTGAAAAATTACAAATGTCTTTTTTTTTTTAAATTGCGAGGCAAATAATGATTTGATAAATTAATGAGAAAGACAGAAAAATGAATAATTTCATCTCGATTTATTAAGAAACAATTAAGTATAACAGTCACTGGCAGTGAAGATGTGATCAAATAATGATAATCAGTTGAATCATTTTATTGCAAATGATTAAACTTATAGAATTCAAAGAACGTGAATGGATTATTAAGGAAAAGGAATAAAATTATTTATGCCGACATTCCTCTTGAAAATGTAAAAAAATACTATAGAGTCTGCAAGCGGCAAAGGATAACAACTGCCCATTTTGAAAATCAAACCACATGAAAGTCTATTAATGGCTGAATAATAAAAAAATAAAAATAAAATGTACTATATATATATATAAAAAATGGAAAATAAAGCATAATATATTTTTTTAAAAATCCACGTTACAACCAAAAACGTTTGCAGTTTCTCTTTTTAATATACACACTTTTCACTCATTGGAACTACTATAACCTCTTTCTTTTTTTACATGTGTGTGTAAATATATATATATATATATATATATATATATATATATATATATATATATATATTTATAAATTATGGAAAATATGTAATATATTTTTTTAAAAAATCCACATTACAATGCGTTTTATTCTCCAAATAGATATGATAAATAAGAGATAAGATATTTTTTAGAGAGAGAAAATCCAGATTAGAAGAGAGAAAAAACGTAGAGAGATTCTCTCTTTTTAATAGAGAGATAGATAGAGAGAGATAGAGAGAGATAGAGAGAGAGATAGAGAGAGAGAGAGAGAGAGAGAGAGATAGAGAGAGATTAAGTGCAAATGAGGCTGGATAAAAAAGAATGTAATTTAAACCCCCCTCCTCCTGATGCATTTACAATACACTTGCTTTTCTTTTCTTCCCCCATCTTCTTTTTCTCCTTCACATCCTCCTCCTACTCCCATTCCATTACACCCATCATAATGCGTTTGTTTATTTATTTTTGAAAATAATAATGTAGCAGCATTCTTTAGTTTTTTTTAAAAAAAAAAAAATAATTAAAAACCCATTAAGTGGTCATTTTAAAAAAAAAAAAAAAAAAAAATAAAAAAATCACTCGCGGATACCATAAGGTCGAAACCAAGATACAAGATTCAACTGACCATTTAGAAAGATGAAGATATTCAAAATGACAGATGTGGTTCTACAGGCAAATACTGAGAAGTCCCTGGACTAAACATGTGAACAAAAATGAACTTCTAAAGAAAATAGGAACTAGAAAGACACTAATACATATAATTGTAAGCTTTCTCTGCTTGAAAGGTTTTATCATAATCAATATAATTAACCCATTACAACAAGGTTAATTTAAAACTGCATTCATTTTTGCCTAATCTACCTTGCTGGCTAATGGTAATCTTAAGGCTAGCAGAGTTTAAATTTTAGGTAACCCCCTCTCCAAAAATTTTAGAAGTCATGCACTAATCGGTCAAATAGTCTGAGCATCCTAGCTTAGGAGTTCATTAAATCAAAAAAGACGTGTTGTGGATCCCGTGTGAAAAATAGGTATCCAATAAATGACAAACGCAAGTATTTAAGCTAAGAAATTAAATGTATTTACACAAAATACAAAAGTTAATACTGTTAGTAAGTCCAGGAACACGGTTAGTAGCAAATACAGATAGATATATACAGTCTTGAAGTAGGACTTCCTTAGAGTCTACGTGCTTGTAACTGACTTCTACAAGAGGTTACTTCACTATCAGACACTCACAGACAACTCCAGTACAACTCATGTATGACTCCTCTTCTCTGCCTGACTGTGGCTATTTTATGGCAGCAGGACAAGTCCATTATATCAGAAAAGGGTGGATCCCATAACAACATGAAACTTATTAAATCCAGAAGACAGCATTCAAAATTTTGGCCTCTCATGTGTATTTTGCAAAGTAGTTTTAGTTTAATATTGTTTTTTTGCTGATTTTTATTATTTTAAATTCTAGCTTTTTAGTTTAGTTTGTTTTTTTTTAATATAAAGTTTTTGCTGGTTGATTTGATGGTGATGTTTTTACATCTATATAATAAATGCAAATGTTAGTGTATCACCGTGTCACACTTTTTCAACTTTACTCCTAGAGGCCGTAGCCCAACATATCATACCATTTTGGAATCAGGCCGACTCCATGAGAAAACTAAACATTCTGAGCTGGATCTGGACCCGTAATCCTGAAATTTTTGATTCACAAGTTTTCATTACTGAAATTGTTTTTTTTAGGAATTTTTTATGTGAGTTTTGCAAGAATTTTTTTGTATGATAACAATTTTTATAACTTGGAAATAAATTTGTGAATCAAAATTAATTACAAAATCCAGTGAAAAGCACCCATGAAATAAGAATAATTGTTTGTACAGAAAGTAAGGACCTACATACATCAAATTGTCTTTAAGTTAAGTAGTAGCAGAAGAATTATAGTTGACCTTTTAAAAGGTAAACTTAAATATTAATGCCAAACTCAAATGCAGCAACCAATTTTGAGTTCTTCTGTAGTTTATTGTTGCCTATGGCATCTACTCCTCCCTATGTATTTTGAATCAAGAGCCATCTGTAGGAGCCAGTTTAAATGCCACCTGATAGAGTGGCTTTTAAGCTAGTATGAAATAAATTGATAAGCCACAAAAGAAAAAAAATATGTGGATCATAAAGTAAAAAGTAATTCCATGAAAACACCATGGTGCATATTGGCTATTAAGCAAAATAAGTATTATGTATATGGGGTAATGAAAAGTTCTCAGAAAAAAAAAAAAAAAAAAAAATTGGTAGGTGCTGGAGAGGTTTCTTTGTCTTGTCAAGAACTTTTCAATATCTTCCTCATATCATTGTCCAATTTTCTCATGTGAAGTATTATCAATTAAAAATTATTTTTTTGATTGGTATTTCTACCATCTGATTTCTGATGCATTTCTAATTACAACTCTCAGGCGATCATTTTATGATAGTTAACAAACATAATTTCTAATGAAGAACATACTTGCAGTGAGATATGAACTCTCATCCCATTCCCTTGGAAAGTCTGTCTGTAATATGGAGAAATTAGTGATAGTAGAATTAAATCATTTACTTATACATTCACATATTAAATAGTGGTTTACCTATCTACAAATTTATTGACACAATGAAAACGACTGTTATTCTTAAATTCCAATTGTCTAAGGAAAAAAAAAGTTATAAAAAAAAAAAAAAGAAAATGGTCATCTCCTTTTTTAATGTTTTCCTTTATTTCAATTTTTAAATTCTGCTACAATCTGCATGGAGAAGAAACAATATAAAAAAATTGTTCATGGTTAAATACTGGTATAATTTCACGGTTTAATACATGTACATACAGACAACCGTCCCATCTATGGACAGATCCCCTCCTATCAATGGATTTCAGATGCAACAGAAAGTCTTCAGGCAAAATAAAAAATAATCTGCAGGAAAAGAAACTTTCACATCATCAGCAATGTATTTAAAAATTTGCAGGCTTATCGGAATGAGTTATATTAGTTCTCAAAGTGACCACTTGGTGGCAGTGGCAGGCCTTTCACTTGTAAACAAAGAATAGATTAATGTGTGCATAAAAATCTATTATTTTTGTCATTTTGATTAATACATCTATATTAAGTATTTATTTATTTATTTATTCCATATACACATGTTTATAGCATTTACATCATAATCATAACTACTGGTAATTACTATAGTGGTTTTATAACTCAAAAACAATCTCTTCCCATTCATCAACAATCAAATTTAATGGACCACTTCTCCCACCATTAGTCCATTGATGAGAGGTTTGTCTGTATACACAAAATGGTATGATCTTTATGATATTGTCACTGAATGGTAAGATATGCCATCCTGAGATGGATCTAAGAAGATAACTCAACAAAATGGAGAAATACTTTGACTAATATATACAGGGTACGATGAGTAAATTATTACCGTATTATATTTTTAAGTTTGCACATGCACATTGTTTTTGATTTTGTCAACTGCACAGTATAGTAGGGTCAGTTGGGTATCATCTGTGAGAAAAAGAGCACCATGATGCAATTCACTCTATCAGAGATTTGGAAACAGCATGCCGTACTGCTTGGCATTCACACTGGAAGCCCCAATACAAACATTTCAGAATGTTTAGGTGCAAATTTGAGGACAGTGCAGGGGATCTGGAAAGAGTTGGATGAGTCTAATGGTGATTACGATGATGCAGCAGCTCAGAAAACTCACTGATCATTCTGATAAGAAAATAACTCCCAAATTTGTTTTTGAGATCCAGGCCATGGTTGACAACCGTCCCTCCAAGTCGATCAGGTCCATATCCAGGGACACATGAGCGTCCTATTATCAGGTAGGCAGTGCATAAAGACATTTGGTATTTCTTATACAAAATGAGAAAGGGACAATTTTTATCCCCAGCCATGAAAGACAAGAGGAAAGACCATGCTAGGAGCTTTTGAATAAACTCAAGTACCCCCTTCAACCAAACATGGGTTGGTTTTTTTCAGATGAGAAAAATTTTTGCCAGGATAAGATGGTGAACCCACAGAACAACTGTTGGCTTGCTGTGTCCCCAAAAGATGTACTGAGAGTGATGAAAACCATCATCATGGTGTTTGAAGTGATCACTAGTGATGGTGATGTTATGCCTCCATTCATCTTTATACAGGGCCACAGACAACACGGAAACCTACATCAAGTGCTTTGAGAAGGTACTGCTGCTCTGGGTCAAGAGGGTGGTTGTTGGAAGACCCTATGGCTGGCAAAAGGGTCTCTGCACCAGGCCACACAAGCAGGAGAACCAAATCATGGCTATCAGACAATTTCTGCAACATCACCCTTTATATCTGGCCACATAACTCCCCAGACTGCAACCCCCTTGATTATTATGTATGGGGCGCATTTGAGCAAGAGATCAACAAAACTTTTTGTAACACCAAAGATGAACTGAAGGCAAGGATTATGGCAGCATTCACTAAAACAAAGAGTTTTTGTGTAATTTTGATAAATATATCTATTAAAATGAGATGTCCGTGTTATTTTCATTTTTGCGTCATTTAGATGGCAATTTATCCATCGAACCCTGTATATGACATTTGTTGGTGGGTATAAAAGATCATGAATGCAGGGACAACATCATGCATCCTCTCAAAGAAGAGAGAAAAGAAAAGAGATGAAGAAGAAATGAAAAGAAAAAGAAAAGAGATGAAGAAGAAATGAAAAGAAAAAGAAAAGAGATGAAGAAGAAATGAAAAGAAAAAGAAAAGAGATGAAGAAAAGAAAAGAGATGAAGAAAAGAAAAGAGATGAAGAAAAGAAAAGAGATGAAGAAAAGAAAAAGAAAGGAAAAGAAAAAGAAAGGAAAAGAAAAAGAAAGGAAAAGAAAAAGAAAGGAAAAGAAAAGAGAAAAGAAAAAGAAAAAGGAAAGAAAAAGAAAAAGGAAAGAGAAAAGAAAAAGAAAAAAGGAAAGAAAAGAAAAAAGGAAAGAAAAGAAAAAAGGAAAGAAAAGAAAAAGAAAAAAGGAAAGAGAAAAAGAAAACAAAACATAAGAGAAAAGAAAAGAGAGAAGAAAAAAGGAAAAGAAGAAAAGAGAGAAGAAAAAAGGAAAAGAAGAAAAGGAAAAGAAAAGGAAAAGAAGAAAAGGAAAAGAAAAGGAAAAGAAGAAAAGGAAAAGAAAAGGAAAAGAAGCAGGAGAGGAATAACATGAAGTGGGAGAGGATTAAGAAGAAGGAGGAAGAGAGGAATAAGAAGGAATAGGAATAAGAAGGAGGAGAAAAAAGGAGCAACAAAAATGAGAAGAGGTGAGAAAAAAGAAAAAGAGAAGTGATAAGAAGAAAAGAAAAAGAAAAGAAAAAGAAGAGAGCTAGAAGAGCAAGAATAAGCGAAACAAGAAATATTTTAATCCAATAACTACAGTTCAGAGGAATTTCCATCATTAAAGTAGATAACTTATAAATAGCTTAACTGTAGATGAAAATGTCTACTAATGTTAATGGGCGAAATTTAAATTAAATATTGCCATTGGCAACTGCCACTGAATATAAAATCACTTTGTATTCAGAAAATTTTTTTATATCATAATCATTTGTAAATGCTAACTGTTTAAACTTTATTATTAAAATATTATCACAGGGTTGTCATTATGGCTGTTGGAAAGTATGCAGACTGGTTAATTATTCTTTTGTTTATTTTTTTTTTACTAAGGAAGATAAAATGACTAATTATGGATAAGTGTATAGCATAATAGCTAATAGTGCAGAAAATGGAATTAGAAAACAGAGTTCAAAAACTAGCTTAGTCTGAATTTAAATGTGATACTATATTGGTAACAATGTCTCATCATTTTACACTTGAAATGGCTAGATGTAACCATAAGTTCTATGCTAACAATTTTGTTCTATCATACTTAATGTATGTGGCACTCTTGTTTTATAGTTTCCCAGTCAACATCGATCTTCAAAAATTTAAATGTAATGTCAATCATTATCTTCTGTCTTCTTAATTCTTGTTCTTTTATTGTTCTCTTTTTTTAATAGTGTTTTTTTTTCTCATATTCTCTAACACTCAGTAACACCTTACATCTTAGTGGTTTAATTACCTTGCTTGGAGTGAAATAATTGAAATATATGCATATGTCTAATAAATGAAAGTGAGTAAATGATGATTTTTTTATGTAATTAATATTTATTTATTTTTCAATCGTATTACTCCATGCAAGCCACTAAAACGCAAGTGGTTACTGGGTGTGGAGGAATTAGGAACAGAAACAATAATGATGAGGAGAAAGAGAAGAGAGTAATCAGGGGGACAGTAGATAGTGATTGACATTGCATTTAAATTTTTGCAGATTAAAGTTAGCTGGAAAGCATGGAGCCCGAAATGTGTTCCACAAGTGAGAAATGCAAGAGAAAAACTGTTAGCATAGAATTTAAAATTACATCTAGCTAGCTCAACTGGAGATTGAGGAGATCTTGATGCCAGTCTAGTACTGTGCTTAAATTCAAAAACTCTTGGTACCATAGTGAAGAGTTCATCCAAACAATTACCATGAAATAATTTATAGAAAAAGTATAGAGAGGCAACCTTATGGTGGTAGGAAAGTGACTGAAGTCGAGCTGCCAGATCAGGACCAATAATATTGTAGGTACTTCTTTGGACCTTATCAAGGAGCTCAAGGTAAATAGCAGAGGCACCAGAACATATATGGCAACAATATTCTAAGCATGGCCAAATAGCTTATAGATATGCAAGATAGATTGTTTTGCCCAAGACAGTGAACTGACTTTCTTAGCAGCTGATCTAACAATGGATTCAATATAGTCTTTCCACTTCATGTCAGCTGAAAACTTGAGCCTGTGAAGGTGCAAGTCACTTTCCTAGAGGTTAGCATCAGCCTTACTGATAGAAAGCAGAGAAAAGTCTCTCAGATGAGGCGTTAAAATTAACAAGCCACCTTTTTCCCCAGTTAACAGAAGACTTGAGGTCATTTTGGACATCGGTTGATATTTTGACCTTGTCAGACTGATCAGCCTTGCTATTGAGGCAGAAGTAAAAGGTTGTGCCATCAGCATAAATACCAAGTTGACAGTAAATGTCATCAGGAAGGTCATTAATGAAAATTAAAAACAGAGTAGGACCAAGGATGGAGCCCTGGGAGACACCCATATTAGTACAAAAGGATCTAGACAAGTGGCTCTTCACGATAACTTTCATTTCGTGATTTGATAGGAAAGACTGGTTTATTTTGTTTTGTTTTATGGCATATCAACTTCAATGGGTCATTTAATGTCGACAACTTTTTTTTCCTCGTAATACTTTTGTTTTATCAAAAATCTATTTCTGTTAATATTTTTTTCCTCAAAAATGTATAGCTGGTAATATTATTTTTTCAAAAACGTATATCTGATAATGTTTTTTTCAAAAACTTCTAGCTAGTAATAGTTTTTTTTTTCTTCAAAAATTCATTTTTGGTAATAATTTTTACAAAGTATTTCTGGTATTAAAACCTATTTTTACACTTTTATAATGCTTTTTACCTCAGTTTCAGGGTTAACTATTTACCCATAGTTGGGACCCTAACAAGTGCTACCACCCCGGGTCAGGGTGAACTTGGGAACAGCAATTAAGAGGTGGTTCCACGCTCCTCAAAGCCTCCTGATCAGAAGCCTTGCTGTTGGAAATAGTTTATCATCTTACCCAGGATGCGGATGTAGTTTATCGTCATACACAGGATGGATAGGAAAGACTGGATCAGTTTAAAAAAGTGTCAAGAGACACTTTTCAGCTTGTGGGGAAGACCTAAATGCCAGACCCTGTAATTATGGGATGAATTTATGCATTGCATATTTTTTAAATAACAGGTGATTGTGAATTTAACTGTTTAATTTTTTTAACATTTTTATAGTTATGTGTTTTTTTTTTTTTTGGTTAGTAAATAAACTTCCAAATTCATAAAGCTTTATTACCAAATTTACTAGCCTATGGCTCATACCTGACCCCACAACTAAATAACAATATTGTAACTAATGCACCATATTATGGGCAATAAAGTAATTAATAGAAATTTAAACTGAACAGCAAAGAGTTGTAATGAATATTAGCAAGAAGCCTTTGTAAAACAATCAGTTTGGAGAGTAGTAAATACGATAATTTAATCTGAATCAAATGCTCTAAAAAATCCAATAATTCCTGTTTCGATGAAAATCAATATTTGATATTCATTGATTGGCAAAGAAATAGGCTTGACTCCCCTCAGTTGGGGGATTTGGGGTTAGTACATGCCAACCCTGTGGATTGCAATCACAATTTTGCACTGTTTACTTTAGTAGTCAAAAAGAGTTTACCAATCCAATGTCAGATGATAAAAATCAACGCAAAAAATAAAGTAAAACAAATAAAAAAAAAAATAGATTCTTCATTTTAAAGAAGTTTTGATAAAATGTAGTTTTTGTATTTTTATATGAGAGGTGTGTCTGCAAAAAGAAATGAATGAAAAGAAAATGTTAATCCTTTACACGGTCCTGGAAAAATCTATCTGCCGTTCTTTGTGCAGAAAAATATCAATAAGTGATTTAGTTTTTCTTGGTGCCAAAAAATGATTTGTATCACTCAAAGTAAGATTATTTAACAACACTCTCTCTTTTGCTCTCTCCCCAATGTGAGAGATAAGCACATTTATTCCTTTCCAAGTAGGAGTGGGAGACATTGGGATCCTTAATTGTTACTCAAGATAATCCTGCAATTAAGTGTTAAGTACAAAATTTATCAAAAGACTTATGCACAAATTCTGCATATGCCTTCAGTCCTGATGCACATTAAAATATTCACACAGGGATTTTCCAAAAGCCAGATGTTTACTGGGTTCAAAACATTATCATATGATCTGGATTCTAAATTTAAAAATGATATATTCACATTCTTTTTTTCTTTTAAATACATTTTATCCTCTTCACCATTTTCGTCAAAACTGATAACTCTGAAGTAATTGTTATTCATTCAATAATAAGAATATTTTATATATATATATATATTATATATATATATATATATATATATATCAGAATGCAGACATGAAAACAAATTCCTACTATGCTACCTACAACCACATCATAAATTAAAAAAATTAAAAATCTCAATCTAAATTTAATAAACTTTATTCCATATGTGAAAACTTAGAACCAAATAAGAATACACGAAAGAAAGTATACAAAACAAAGAAAATGATATATATATGAATGAAATAAAAAATATATAAATAAAATGAGCAATCTAAAGATCATAACCATAAAATAGCCCAAGTATTAATCCTAGGCTCCAAAACTCGGAAGTGTTCATTTCTTCTTCCTCTACTTCCTTTAATCCCCCAGTGCCCTATATATAAGGCCCACAAAAAGAGTAGTGGCATTTGGTCTGAAGATTGCATTGATGTGCAACACCGACAATCACTGTACAATGCTGATTCCTATGTCTACATTGACATCTTTCACATACACACATTATATATATATATATATATATATATATATATATATACACACACACACACACAGATGTAAACAGGTATATAGAAAATATTAAGGTGAAGTGAATGCAAATTCCCTCAGCTTTTTGTACCAATTTCATTTTTCATGTTGTTAATTCACACTGCCTTTTGTTTATTGCAATTAAGAAAATCACTAAATTGAAAAAATAGTCCTGGATATGACAAACTACATTCGACAGCAAGGCCTATGATTGAGAAATTGGAGGTTTTGACAAGTGTGGAACTATCTCTTAATTGCTGTTGTTCCCAGGGTCACCCAGACCCAAGGTGGTAGCACCTGTTAGGGTCCCAGCTATGGGCAAATACCCCCCCGCCAAACAAAGCACTATGAACGTATCAAAATTATAAGAATATGGAAGAGATAGTAAAGGGAGCTAACTCTTTAACATTTAAAGATCAACCTTGAACTTGAAGCCCTTACTAATCCAGGATTGATTGGCTAACTGTTGTCCAAACATGATCCCTTTCAAAAAAAAAAAAAAAAAAAAAAATTAAATATAAATCTTTATTTGAAATATCTTACATGCAGGCACTTCAAACTTTGTAATTTGAGTTAACATTAATAGGAACTGAAAAACATTATTTAGGTACTGAAAATTGTAATTAAAAATAGGAAAATTTGCGCTGGGTACTATATACCCATGGTTAGTGTTCTAGGATTAAGTGCGTCTGTGGAATTAACTGCACCTGAGGAAAATCTTTATAAAACACTTTTTTATTGTAAAAATACTAGCAATATATTTTTATATAAATAATTTACCCACATTACATATTTATAGTAAAATGACCCACAATACATTTTATCTGTAGTTGAAGGCATG